GTCAAATGAGAACAGATACATTACAAAGAGACTGAGCTCTTTTTTCTCCGGGGATGTTGCTGAGGACTGGAAACAAATTAAGGATCGATTGTTGCATCTGATGCAAATTCAACGTCCGCTACCAATGCCCAGGATATCCAACCGACCTTCAGTGGGGGACAAGAGATATAAAAAGAGAGAGCAATAAGAAAGCAAGGCTTTGGAAGAGGTTTCGGGGAACAACCCACCATGAAACTTTCAAAGAATCCGGCGGAACTAGCAAAATGTTTGGTTTTCAAAGGACCATAGGATTTTGGGAGTGATTGGCAACATCGAGCAGTCAAAAACCCCAATTCGCTAAACAGCTACTCAGGAAAATGTACACGTAGCAGGAACCCGATATCTGTTATGAAAAATGATTAACATCTCGAGATATTGGACTGTGTAAAAGAAAGCGAACATTTTTCTAAGTTCTTACGGTCGGTTTTCACCAGAGAAACTACCTTCATCACAGTTAGTGAAGAGAACAAAAAGCTTGAATGAATATATATCTCCCGGTGTCAAGTGCGCCAATAACTTGCTAGAGAGCTAGCCAAACCGTTTTCAATTGTGTGCCAGCAGTCGTTCGATAGTAGAAGTCTTCCCTGGATTTGTAAACAGTCCACAAACTACAGACCCGTCAGTCTGACCTCCACATGTTCCAAATTAAGGAAGAAGATCATCAAAAAGGAATTAATGACATATTACGAAACCCACGGCTTCGGCTTTCGAAGAGTTGGTCGTGCGTTAAAAACTTGCTTAAAACGATTCAAAGCTGCACCAGGGCAATTTATACAAAAGTCACCCTACATGCGGCCTACCTTGATTTCCAGAAGGCCGTCGACAGTGTCCCAAACGAACGTCTCCTGCACAAGTGATGGACATCGGAGGCAAACTTCTTACGGGGATTGGGAATTTCCTCGCTGGTTGTTCCTAAATTGTGTGTAGGACGACAACAAGCAAGACCGACAGTCATCGAGAATTGAATCTTTCAAGCTCCAGTGCCCAGGCCGACCCTCTTTCTCCTCTTCGTTAACGACTGTGTACAGGAATTGTACTGTGATTGTGCCATGTTTGTAGAGGACGTAAAAATGGGAAGGTCATAATGAATGCTTTCGATGAAGATAACCTCCAAGGAAATCTTGATTGATTAAACGATTAGCCACACAGGTGGCTCCTGTCCTTCAATTCGAACGGATGCACGCCTCTGGGAAATCTAAATCCGGTCGCTGATGCGCGATCCTCCTATATGAATGAAATCCTATTCAAAGAAGTAGAAATACATAAATATCTCGGCATTTGAATGACAGACAACCTCAAGCCTTCTACACACTGTTCTAGGGTGGCTAAAGCTGCAACTTGAATGTTTAACGCCATCAAGCGGGCATTCGCACATTTGGTGAAGACTGTTTCTCGGAACTCTTCGGTACCTTCATAAGGCCACATCTTGAATACACGATTCAAG